TGAGTACTCTGTACGAAATTCATAAATTACTAGAACAATCACAAGGAAGCCATGTCTGTTGCATGCATATTTCATCTCCTCCAACCACAAACTTCGATAAGATTTTATTTTGGAGTCCAAACTGAAAGTTGTAAGCAGGGTTTCAATTTTACTCGTTTGGGTATGCTGAAATCCCTAATTTACATAAGGCTGAAATAAAACTTCATCGGCTTTCTCAAGAACGGTCCATGGATGCACAGTATAAAATATACTCGTAGATCTGACTGAGATCTGTACCTTTTATTATACGTACTTCGTATATATTCAGAGTATTTTAGTGCAGAAGGACATTACATGCAAAAAGGTCATATACCCGTCTTTCAGCCGTAGCATGTATACTCCTTTTTAGCTAACAGATACATTTTACGCCTATCAGAGGGTGACGTAACAAGAATAACATTTAATATATGACACAATAACAAATGCAGTAACTTATACACACCAACCAGCAATGAATAGTTGATAAAATGGAGGTTACGATGGGCGGGGTATGTAGCTTGGATGGGCAGAAGAAATATTTCGAGATCGACGAAAGGCCTGATTCAGGAGAGCGACAATGAGGCTGACAGGTGTATTATAACTGTGTTAACCTGCTCAGCAACGTCATGTATGTCGTATAGTGAAAGAGTTATTAAGGTTTATGGCAATGATAAAACATAGAAAATGTTCGAGAAAAAGAGAGAAACAAAAGAGGTGATGTAGCTGAGAACTGGAGAAATTTACATAATCAGAAGTTTAATACTTTGCAGTCTCCAAATATCATTGACATGACATCTGAAAGCCGGAATAGTGAAGTCAGAAAAGATGGCCATTGCTAGGCGACGGCGAGTTGAAACACGTTTCCACAGCAAAGAATACGCTGGGATAAATCAAGGTGTTAACAATATGTTGATATTCGTTTTGTGGCAAAGGCGAATAACAAAGAAACGAATTGTTGTGTCTGGTGTTCTGCCTCCGATCAGCGTCTGCCATCTCAGCCAGAGATATAGAATCCAGAGATAGAGTTCGGGAGCGAGAGAGTTTCATAGGATTGAGAATTGAGGATGGAGGTTAAAGACTTGATTTAACGTGTTTTAGTTACAGTGATTTTGAGAGATATAATTAATTGTACTTACGACTTGTGAGTGTTCAGTAAATCGATTCATCAGTCCAAACCCCGTCAACAAGTCACTAATACACGTGACATTATCACGAGTCGTTACGTAGAGAAAATTAACGTGGATGGAATATACTGGACGTATCGGGCAAAAGAGAAATGTATAGCAGATTTTAATCCGGAAGTCTGAAGAGAACAGCCCGTTTGTCAGACCTAGATGTATACTGGAGTTTGATATCAAAACAGACCCTAGAGAAATGAAATATGAATCTGAGAACACGATTCACCTGGATCCGTATCGAGTCCAGTATCATAGATCTATGAACACGGTAATTAAACGTAGAATATCATAAAAGAATGACGTAAACTAAAGGCAAATTGGTCCCTGTGCTTAATTAATTAAGCATTATACCATAAAGACATATGCCGTAGTGAATGTATATTTCCACCATTCTTAACCTGGGCACTAGATGGAGGTACGTTGTTAACTTCAAGCTCCGGCCGCTTTACCTTCGGGGAAATCGGCCCCCTTACTTAGCGGATAAGAGGCTGGGTGAAGGAGAGAAAAATTTTACCCCTCCAGGAAATCGAACCCAGGATGTCCAGTCCGTAGCCCATAGGACATACCGACTGAATTATCCAGTTTGCTAGAAGCAAGGCGTTCTTCAACAATTTAGCTACTGTCAGCTTCTCAAGAAGGATGCTGTACCGTGGCGCAAGGCGTTACTTGGTTTGTTGAGTAAATAATGTGAAAGTGCTTCGGGTTCACAATGGAGTGAAGTGAGCTAGGGGGTTCCCGTCATTAATAGTTGGACCGCTCTTGTCGCTGTTGAGGGTACCACGTGCCGCGCAAAGTTCGTTACGTTTTCAGTAGAGAGCCACCCCTTCATCCCCCCCCCACCCTCGGTGATTAATGTGACATGTTTCTTCTGGGCTCCATTGAAAGCAATGTTCAGTGCAGTCCCCAGAACCACCCATTTTTCAAAACAACGGACACTGTCCCCGCCTCTGCAGAGAGAAGCTTTTTCCTACGGGTCTATAAACGGCGAAAACAAATCCATACACCCTTCTAACAACTAACTCAATACAAGGGTTAATTTGCTCATACTTAACACTGTTGCTTGTTCTCTTACTAATACCAAGACAGAAAAGGTCGTGAACTTATGGCCTTCGAAAGGGTTGCCCAATAACACTAGGCTGGTAGTTACTACAGGATTCTGACGATGGTGTATAACACACTGATATATTGGGTTTTTGGACTTTATCCATTGTCCTTGTTTTTAAGATAACTATTAAAAACACGACGTTTCGGAAACTGGATCTGTTTCCGTCCTCAGGTGAAGGAAAACACCTATTCTGTTCGGTCCGTTAGAAAGAGCTAGCCTCAATCACTGGGTCCAGATCCAGTCTAGATCCAGTTTCCGAAACGTCGTGTTTTTATTAGTTATCTTAAAAACCAGGACGATGGATAAAGTCTAAAAACCCAATATATCAACACTACGCTGGCCTACTGTGAAGGAAAAACTAACATTGTCCCTGTGCTTAACTAATTACGCACTATGCTATGAGGACGTATGGAGGAATGTGAGTGGTCAGCTTGACGCCCGAGCCGCTTTAACCTCGGTACCCATTGGATAGGAGGTTGGGTGGACCCCAGAGCCGGTCTGGACGAAGTGGAGAAGAGAAAATTCTTGACCTTACAGGGACTCGAACTTCAACCCCTCGGTCGTCCAGCCCGTAGCGAGTCGCTATACCGACTACGAAATCCAGGCTCAGTGCTTACTTTAATTTGGAGAAGTTTTATTTGTTTAATTAAAATTTTAAGAATTATGTTAATTTAAAATTGAAGAATGTGCGTTAAACACTGATTCTTAGCATGAAGTCAAACCAAGATTGTTTTCGATTTCGGCCACGAGATTTGAATCCACTAGGTCATAGGAGATAACGTGCCAGTCTTCAATGATTGGAAAAATTTAAAGACGACAAATATGTGATAATTAAACTAATACAGTTAACATTCCCAAGCAGTTATAACTGAAATCTCACATCTGCAAATTCTTCAATCTTCTTTCTACACTGTTCCTGAAGAATAATCGCAAGTCATTACTGTCAGCGGCTCCCGGCTTCTTAACGCTTTCAATTTCCGCGAATTATTATTCAAAAACCGTGCTACAGAGCAAAAGGAAATGAATGCGGCATTACAATGTATCGTATTCAGGATTAATTACAACCAAACGGAGTGGATTAATGATAACAAATAAATATAAATAGATATCTAGTTACTCACTCACTCATGGAGCTGAGCCCTTCTGGAGGAGCTGCCAATTCTGCAGCTACTCAAGAATTTCCCAGCATTTCTTGGAACCCGAAACATCATTACCATGTTCAGAAGAGCCTTTCACTGGTCTGTATCCTGAGCTAGATCAATCCAATCCATACCATCCCATTCTATCTCTCTAAGATTCAGTTTAACACTGTCCACACACCTACGCCTTAGTCTTCCAAGTGGTCTCTTTCTTTCTGGCATTCTCACCAATATCCTACACACATTCCTCTTCTCTCCCATTTGTGCTACATGTCCTGTCCATCTCATCCTCCCTCTCTTGATCATTCTAATTACACTCGGAGAAGAGTTTTAGTTATGAAGCTCCTCATTATGCAGTTTTCTCCAACCTCCTGTCACTTCATCTCCCTTCGGTCCAAATATTCTCCTCAATACCCTGTTCTCAAACACCCTCAGTCTATGTTCTTCCCAAGTTTTACACCCATACAGAACCACAGGCAAAATTATAGTTTTGTATATTCTAATTTCTATGTTTTTAGACAGCAGACGAGAAGACAAAATGTTCTGGACTGGTTGGTAGCAAGCATTACCCGAGTTCAATCTCTTCTTAATTTCCTCCCGAATCAGATTTTATTTGTTATAATCGTTCCAAAATAAGATGTCTAGTAATCGAAGGAATTAAATTAATAATGTGATAAATTGGAAGTGCCTGGTCATAAGGGCGGCTGTTTCTTCCGAAGTGCAGTAATCCTAATCCTTTCCACCTCTGTAGGCGTACCTTGCGTCGCGTTAATGCCACAAAATATTGAAGAATTTTCTAACAAAATGCAATCGTCTTCTTATAATATACAACCCAATATGTAACATTTAATTTCTCGACAAGCTTATGTTCTATATTTGCATGAAGTTCGAATGAAGCGTTGAAGGAGTAAAATAGAATGGATACGAATAAAATGAAACATTAGCCTTAATGTTTTATCCGTCTCACGCTGCTTCCCCAGTTTCCTCAATGATTGAACGCCCTGTATTACAACAGACTTTCCACGCCCATTTCCATTTTAAAACATTCAGCATCACTCCCACGTCAGAAACTCGTTTGGCCGCCATAATAGCATTCTTGCGGATGGAACACCAAAGAATACTATGGCCACTAGTTTCATGGTCTTCATCCTAGGTATCATGAGAACACAACTAAGTAAAAATATGCTGGGTTAAAGCAGGCATCTGACTACACAGGCGAAGAGTCCAGAACTTGATAATAAGTCTAAACAAGCAATAAATCAGCTTTTCCTTTTTGTTTCAGCTCACTGAAGCAAACATTTGTTGAGATGGAGCCAGTGTGCACATGCAGTGAAAGGACCCGAATAAACAGAAGAGCGATCCTCGCCACAACTATCGATAGCAAAGATAATCGACCGAACGGAAGTGCGATCCGTAGTTTCTTGAATCACCACAGTGGCAGCAGTCGTAGCTGTTTCCTCATTAAGGAAACAAAACGTTCGAAACGACACTGTAATAGCGATAGTGAAATAAAAAGCAGAGAAAAAGAGGATGGTGGACTGCTGCTGAGCGAGAAGTTCGTGAGGACTGGTGATGAGAAAGAGAAGTGTTCATCGAAGGTTTGCGAGACTGCGCTGAGCGGCGCTGAAACTAAGAATCGGTTACGTCAGCATGTTCCTACGACTGGAAGTTGCAACAACAGTACAAGCAGCAGCAGTGGGGAATTATGGGAAGAGGAGATTTTATTGCGTCACATTAAAGAATGTCGCTGCACGTGCAACCATATGGGATATGGGAATTATCTGGACTGGAACGAGGTAAGTACCAAGAAGTGTAAGCTCTTATTTTGTACACTGCTGGCTTATTCAAGACTCGCAGGAAAACTGCAGTTATTAAGCTGAAGCAATTATTGTAGCATGAGGCAACAATGATCAATTTTAGGAAATCAAAATTAATCATTCTCTACTTGTTGTAAATATAACAAAAACTTAACAATAAAGTAAAACAGACAAAAATGTCAGTAATTATTTATGATGGTTATGCTGTACCATTACCTGTTTCGATCTTGCTCGATAATCATCAGGTTGATAAGATCTAAAAGTCTGTGAAAATGGTACATTGTCAAAGCAAAGTCAAAGTCCCATTGCGACTGACGGTCAGTCAGTAAGTCTTGGTGTCGAGCCCCAGCAGATATTAATTATTACCGTTTGACAGTTACGGTCTTGTTTCTGTGGGACGCCCTCTCTGACGAGAGGACGGGTCTGTCTTTTTATATACTGCTGGCCCTTGGCAGCGCAGTCTTTCTCGGGTCCGAGTCCCTTGGGACTCGCGACCATATTTTACTGTCTCAGATTTGAGACTTCCATTTTCGTCGCCTCCTACGACTCGCAGGGTCACAGTGGAGGTATTCGACCCCGCCTCCATACGGGGCAGTGAAGGTACATTGCTACACGTACCATGTTTTTGTACATTATCCATCTTCTTGTCTATATTTAAAAACAATCGTGTTTATTTTTCAAAACACAACGTTTCGGAGACTGGATTCTGTTTCCGTCCTCAGGTAAAACCTACTCAGTTGGGCCCAATATATATAGAGCTAGTCCCTATTGGTCCGGAGATAGAGACTAACTCTATCTATTGGGCCCAACTGAGCGGGTTTTACTTGAGGATGGAGACAGAATCCAGTCTCCGAAACGTTGTGTTTTGAAAAATAAACAGGACGGTTTTTAAATATAGACAAGACGATGGATAATGTAAAAAACATGGTACTTGTAATGATCGGTTGATTCGAAATAAATAAATTGCAAGTTAATGAAATATAAGTTGACGTTAATGTGAAGTTCTATAAGATAAATCAATTTTTCATATCAAGATATGAGGTATAATTTAGAATTAAAATGTTAAAATCCATTAAATTTAGGATGAAGTTACGCGTGGTTTCGTGTATAATGCTGTTGTATTGTGGAAATTATAGAATGTGGTTTAATGGACATGTGCGTATGTTTGTATATGCTGCTAAGCAATGGAATCGATGTTCTTGGGTTATGGAGAGAGATGTGATTGGTCTAATTCTTATAATGGCATTCCTGCTTTTGATTATATGTTGCGACAGCATGTTTATAAAATAAATATAAAACCACGATAAAATAATACTGACATTTCCGTCTGTTTTATTTTTATTGTAAGTAAACTGTTGTATAGCCTGCTACTACATATATACCGTGATTCTATGGCACAGCAGGATACAAAGAACAAAGAAATCAAAACATGCCTGAAACAGAAGGTGGCTTTAAAGGTAGTCTGCCCTTATCGAAAAAAAAAATTGTATAGCCTCGAGAATATAATTACAAATAACGTAAAATTACGTCAAGCAAACGGAAATAGATAAGAAAGTAGGAGAGTATAACCTAAAATAATCCGCTGAGATATATATTACGTTTCAAAATTTCGTTTCTGCAAATAATATGAGAAAGTATACGCCTGTCACAAACGGAAAAGTATACAAAACCCAACTGTCGATAAAATGTATGGACTACAGTCGTACACTGTCAGAAGGGGGCAAGAAGAATTAAGGGAGTGAAACTTACCAAATAATTACTTGAGTAAACAAAGGCTTTACTTTTATGTTTGATGTAAAGAAGTGGAGTGTGTTGATCACCACTCTATAGATTAAGGTACTACAAAATAGGCAGAATAATCCTATTTAGTGGCTAATCACGGTGGTCACACGGTCTAACACATGAACTGTAGTCACCGGCTTCAACACTGGGGCCGTGGGTTTGCATCCCACTCGAGGCACGGATTTTTGTCTGCGTTTATTCTCGGTTTCTGTTGTCCTGCGGACTGATCCCCCAAACAAGGAGTCATATCGACTGTCTATATGATTAACATACTGTAAAAGAGACTAAGTTTCTTCGTGGACTATAGCGCCCACAGATTATCGTTATAATTCCACTCAGTGATGTCAGCTACTAATTGTAATTTGAACTATACAAATAAGAATGAAGACATTTGAGGAAAAGGACTTGATAGTCTACAAGAGGAGCAAGAGCTTGTATTATCACCCCGCAACAATATGTTCCTAAGCCACGAATCAAGTTCATGAGACAACAAAAAGTTGAGCCTGTTCCAAAAACCAGGGGAACATGCAGAATCATCTCTCCGAATAGCAGTTACTGAACTGTTTCGTGACAAAACATATTACTAGATTACAATTTCAATAGAAGTTGCGTCTTCCTCTTCCAGAAAATTGGCTACTTCATACAGAGTTAAAATTAAGAAGCAACTGACGTAGTTTAAGTTTCTCTGTAAAATGTAAAACTGTCTCCGTCCTTAACAAACGAAAGACTATGCCATGAAGAAGTGTGGGGGAGTGGATGTATAAATCCATGTATTCTTGATTGTGGCACTAGTTGAAGCTGAGTGGCCAGCCTCAAGCCACGGTCGCTTTACTCCCTGGTAAAACCAATAACATCCATTGGATAGGATGCTGGGTGGGCACCAGAACCCATCTAGACGACATGAAGAGGGGAAAAATTTGCCACTACCATGACTCGAACTCCGACCCTCGGCCGTCCAGCGCTATCCCGGCTCCTAAACGTGGCTGTATGCTACTAGAAAAGTAAGAAGCGGACAATACAGTTACGTTCTCATTCCACATAACAATGGGCTATTATTTGTTCCTAAAAAGGTAAATGTATAACCTTGTGCTTAACTCATTAGCATTATGCCATGAAGGCGCATGGGGGCGTGGATGTATAGATGCACATTTTCTTGATCTTGGCACTAGTTGGAGGTGAATCGTCAGCTTCACAACCTTTCCGCTTTACCCCGGGGAAAGAGGCCCCAGCACCCATGGATAGAAGGCTGGGTGGGTCCCAGAGCAGGTCTGGGCGACGTGGAAAACAGAAAATTCTTTACCCTACCGGGACTCAAAATCTGACCCTTCGATCGTCCAGCTCGTATTCAGTCGCTATACCGACCGCGCTATCCCGGTTCCTTATTGTTTGTTCCTATTAGTTTGAAATTTGATTTAGGAGCGGGCTTAGATAAATTCTCGTCTTAGTTGTGTAACGAAATTTCTTGATGAAAGATATGTGCTTCAGAGGTCTCTTGATATACTCCAGAATAGACTGGGGGCATTAAAACGACGGGAAAAGAAGAAGAGGATACTGGCACAGTCAGGCAGTTCAGTCAAACACATGTTGAAGGGCATGTGTGTTGAACATTTTAGTCTGTTGAACCATGCCTGCCAGTTGCAAGAGAGTGGGGACAACTCATTTAGTAAAGCAACTGGCTGTAGGTTAGACAACTACGTTTTGATTTCCTACAGAACTGATTGCTCTGTTTCCTACCACTTTCAGCCCAGTCAGTCCACAGTTTCGGAAGAATATTTAAAACGCCTTTCTGCTGTACTTTATTACTAGGGAATACGCATGCCCATCACACAATTACAACAATGCACTCACCTCCACTTCCACTTAATCAACAATGGACTGGGTTTATCTTCTTCAGGACAGGAACCAGTAGGGGGCTCTTGTGAGCACGGTAATAAACTTTGTACTCCATAAAATTTTGAGAAATTCTTGAGTGGCTGAGAGATTGGCGGCTTCTCAAGAAGGGCTCAGCTTCAAGAAGTTAGTCAATTGGTACTGGGACATGGAGGCAATGTATTAGCTGCAAAGTTTCTGTATTGTCGAATGTGAGGGTTATTGAAATCATGAATTGGAATGTTCAGTGAAAGAAAATGATCTAAATGAAGACAAAATTAAGAAAGACAGGTTCCTGTGTAAAACATCTGTAGAAATAAAAAGGAACCGTAGGAATAAAAGTAAAGTAAAGCTATCCCTGTAACAGGCCATGAAGGCCCATAGGTTTGTGAGACGTTGAGGGTCCCACATTATATAGACAATCGGCTCAAAGATGGCGGTAAGGTTGTCAGCCTTACGCGCCGGCCGCGCTTTACTCCCCAGGAAAATTATTTATTTAATTCCTGGTACTCATTTCTGTTAGAGACTGATTGAACCCCAGGGCCATAGTGCGGCCGGAAGGATTAGGTCAATTGAAAAAAATCCAATGACCTCATCGGTATTTGAACCCTCGACTTGCCGACTTGTAGCATAGATGATATTATATATTAATGACTTCAAGGCTTGTACATTTTATCCAGTACTTTATGGGCGAGTAAACCTGGAAGTGTTAATTAACCACGACCGATTAACTGAAAATCCTTACCTGCTAGCCGTTCATGACCACCTCCTTATATCACGTTAGGCATATGGTATCGGCGGTTGAACTGCGTCACAAGAATCACTTAGTCCTCATGCACACAATAGGATGGTGACTTGAGGCAATGCGGGCCCACAACAGTCAGTCAATCGACCGATTAATCATTGATCAAACTATATGGGTTCCTACCGGTGGACGTCCAAGATTTCTCTGGTAGAATAAATGACTCAGCCAATCAGTTGGTTTGGGAGAATGCTGGGCTTCCAATTGCATGTTCCTCATAGAAACAATCACTGGACCAACAAGTGTATCCACCCACAAGGATAGAGTTGTGAGGTGGTGCTGATTGCGAAGTCTGATCTCGCCCAGAATATCATGGTCCACAAACTGTGGAACTGCAAGTCTGTGCTCCATTATTCAGGAATCTAATATCAGAAAATGAAACAACGTAGGATATAAACTCGCTCTTCTATCCGCAACTGCATATTTCATCACGAAGAGATGGAAACCTCCATAGTTTTGTGTTGCAATAAAAGCAACTGCTGTTGCCGCATCAGGTAGAACCCGAGGGACAAGAATGACAGCTGCACAGAAATTTACAACAGTAGGCAGCGCCTTCTTACGATACAGTTTTCTTTCTTTATTTCTGGTGGACATCAGGATTCTTCTTATGATTATGCTCCTTCTGTCTTTCGGATCATGCCTGCTGCTTACGGGATTGTGTTCCCTTGTCTCATGCTCGCGGGTTGTCTCCATTTTACCTGATAATTTTCATGTCTCAACTGTGCTTTAGCTTATATATCTATCATGTATTTACTTCCAAGAGCAATCCGAAGTATCTTACGTCTGAAATTTATATTCTTCTTTCGTAACTCTTTATTTAGAACACGATTTCCATCCAAAAAATATAAAATCAGGCTGGATACGTCACTATGTGATCTTAGTAAAGCTTTTCATATACCATTGCTACCATTGTATATTTTATATTTTAAGTAAGTAAGAAACCATATGAGGAGCTTCATAACTTGTACTCTTCTCCAAGTATAATTAGAATGATCAAGTCAAGGAGGATGCGGTGGTTAGGTCATGTAGCACGAATGGGGGAGACGAGGAATGCGTATAGGATATTGGTGGGAAAGCCAGAAGGAAAGAGACCACAGGGAGACTAATGCGTAGGTGGGTGAACAATATTAGAATGGATCTTAGAGAGATAGGATGGGATAGTATGGATTGGATAGATGTGACTCAGGATAGGGACCAGTGGAGGGCTCTTGTTAACACGGTAATGAACCTTCGGGTTCCATAAAATGCTGGGAATTTCTTGAGTAACTGCAGAAGTGGCGGCTCCTCCAGTCGGGCTCAGCTCCATGAGTAAGTAAGTAAGTAAGTGAGTAAGTAAGTAAGAAACCATATGATGTAACACAGATTTAATCAGTAAGTGATTGATTCCACCCATCATGTTTTGGCTACCAAGCAATCGTGAGGGGTGAACAGTATCAAATGTTTTTTAGTTCATTACATGATGAAGAAGTCATTTAAAACTATTACATTTATATAATTTTTTGCTTAAAATACAAAAATGAAGTGAATTGTGACAAATGAGTAAAGGTATGAATGTTTATGCGTTTTAATTTGATGGGCATTCTTAAGAATAACTGAAGAGCCGAAATATGTAAGATGGAATCAGTCACTTTTTGATTAAATCTGCATGTTGTATTAGATGGTTTATTGTGCGCTTCTTCTAATACCGTATTCTATTATAAATGTATTTTTATTCCTCCATTCAAAACATTCTCTTTGTGTATCATTCATCAAAATTTTCATGTGTTTAGATACTGTATTTTGCAACCAAAATATTTAAAATTGGAGACCTGCTTAATAATCTGGCCATTTACAACTGTTTCAATCATTCCTCAGTATTTTCACTTGCATTCCAGTGACTTCCGTATTATTTTCTACATCTTCCGGTTTCAAGTTCTGTCACAAANTATTGTACCAGCCCCAGATGATAGGTGAGGGTGATTGTGGAGCAATTAGTTGAATGAAAATTGGCAGGGAAACAGAAGTATTCGGAGAAAACCTGCCCAAATGCTACTTTGTCCACCACAAGTCCCACATGACCAAAGCCGGGCTTGAACCTGGGCCGCCTCAGTGGTAAGCCAGCGACTAACCGCCTGAAATATGGCGCGGCTTTCCCAGGCATGTAGCTCAGAACTCACGGATCTCTTCACCTTGGGTTTATTTGCTGGTGGAGTAAGTGAAACGTGATTCATGCATATTTGGAAACTTCTGCGTAACCAGCTAATTAACTAGAGGTATCCAATTAATTAATCAACTCAGTGTCAACAGATCAGCCACCCACTAACCAAAAAACAACTGACCAATAAACCATATGAACAGCAAACCAACAAATAAACCGACCAACAAAGCAACCGAACAACAAAATAATCATTCGACCAAATTAACCAAACATTTGAAGAAGGAATCTTGTGGCTGCGTGCCTTGTATCCAACGATACAACGCACGCAACCACAAGAGTAGATAACATCATAAGACACAATATACACATAACTTTAGAAACATAAGAAGAACGACCCCCATGTCGATGATTAATAATATACACGAATTTTAAAAATATGACGTATGAGATAATAGGTTTTAACAAGTCTTAAACATATAAACTTTGTTATTATATAATGACGTATACAAATTTAATATTATTTGTAAATGGACATATAAAGGCAAGCAGTGAAATGGTTCATGGATTGATACACCTGAAGATGGCAGCATACTGCCGAAACATGTTGTGTAGAAGTGTTAAATTGGATTGTATGCACTTGAAGATTGTTAATACATACACATTATAAATATGAATCAGTGCAACAGGACGCTAAAATACAACATAGTTAATTTCCGTATTAGCTCAAATGTAAGGTTAGGTTTCTTTTTCCAATTACCGCGTCTTATGAAGGAATCTTTGTCTTATTTTCAGGCCCTTAGGGATAAATCTCAGTCGGTCACAGTAGCCGCGAGTCTAAGACATGAAATGTCTTCGCTCGCTCGGACGCTGGGATCGTGGGTTCGAATCCCACTGAAGGCATGAATGTTTGGTGTGTGTATAGGTTTATTCTGTGTTTGTGTTGTCCTGTGTTTAGGTAGAGGACTTGCGACCAGCTGGTCACTCGTCCAAGGAGTCCTACCCTCTGTAGAATGTTTACGGAACTGAATAAAAGGCCTGGGTCCTATATGGGCTGGAAGGTAAATTGAAGAAAAAAGGATAAATCTCAAGATGTTGATTATGAAGAATTTTAATGATATTTATGAGAATACTTAAGGTAATATATTTTGAATTTATTATTTCTTAATATCATAATTTTTGCTTATTTTTGCTTACAACCTTCAGAGCTAAATGACGGTCAAGTCTGTCAAATAAACTTTGCCGATTTTCTCTTTAGAAAAATTGGGTGGGAGTTGTCTTATGTTCATGCATATACGATATGTCGGTACTTGCTAATGTGTCTCATTACGACGAGCTTTCGAAAGAGCGAAAAATCACTTTCCATTATAAAGCGTCAGTTATACTCGTCTGTCAGCGTGGTACCACGGTCACCACAGTAACCGCATGCACAATTGGGTTTCAGTTCAGCAGGTGGCTGGACAGTCTACACTGTAACTCTGTTTGGGTGGAAATGGGGACTCTATCTGTGAAAACCACGCAATGAATGGCGTCCATGCACTACGGCGAATATGGTCGATTGTTTCGGACGGAATGTTCATCACTGCCTCCACACAAGCCGGTTTTAGGGATATATCCTAAGCTATTTTAATCCAGTCCTCAACCTTCCACAAGTACAACAATTGCAACCTGTCGGTTTACGGAGTCTGAGCATGTCATATGAAGTTGGAGGTTATGGCTAGCCGACAGCTATGCAGCAAGGGTGAAAACACTGAGGCTCGCTGTGGTTTCCCTATCGGTATTATCCCTTAATCCCCAGAGCAGGCGAGGCAACAACCCCGCTACTCACCGTTCAGCATACGAGGAGATTTTAGGGGTCAGAATGTGATCCACAGCACATAGGAAATATAGAGCAGCTACCAATCCCGCCACAGAATTATCGAAGCTAAAATAGTTTTCATGTCGTAGTTCAGTGGTATGGTGTATGACGCATCATGAACAGAGCATTTTCCTTATGACCTTTTATTCCCAAAGTGTCACCCAAACGAAGTCAGTATTTATGTTCAAGTTCTGTTTTCTCACTTTGCGGGCTGTCATGCAGTTAAGTTTCTTCTGTAAAATGGTAAAGAAAGAAACAATATTTTTAGTAGTAGTAGCAGTAGTAGTTGGAGCAGAGACAATTCAGCCAATATAGTGACTATATTACGGATTCAACGACAGCAGAATTGGGATTCGATTCCCGGTAGGGACAGAGATTTCCTTGGCTCAAAGCGTCTAATTCTACTCTGGGGATCAGCACACCTTCTATCCACGGGGTACCGGAACTCCTTCCAGTGGGCAAAGCGACTGCGGTGTGAAGCTGACCATTCACTTCTATCTAATGTTGAAGTACGCGTACGCACAGCTGTACTTTCCACCGGCTGTATATTCATCGCATGATGCTCAATTAGGTGGAGTCACTTTAATTTCAGTAGTAGACAAATAGTAAGATAATAATTCAGTTCAGTTTGATTCCTACTTATCTACGTGCTAATTTAACAGCCCAAAGGCCAATTACAAAGTGAACACACTCACTCACTCACTCACACATGGAGCTGAGCCCTTCTTGAAAAGCTGCCAATTGTGCAGCTATTCAAGAACTTCCCAGAATTTTATGAAACCCGAAGGTTCATATTATCATGTTCACAAAAGCCCTCTACTGGTCCCCATCCTGAGCAAGATCAGTTCAATCCATACCATCCAATCTTATCTCTCTAAGATCCATTTTAATATTGTCCTCCCACCTACGTCTTGTTCTTCCCAATGGGCTCCTTCCTTCAGGATTTCGCACCAATATCCTATATGCATTCCTCTTCTCCCCCATTCGTGCTACATGCCCTTCCTATCTCATCCTCCTTGATTTTATCATTCTAATTATACTTGAAGAAGCATACAAATTATGAAGCTCTTCATTACACAGTGAACACAAGTAAAGAATAGGAAGCAAAACACACAAAATCAAAATAAAAAATCAAGGTAATTTATATGATTTGAATAATTATAATAATAATTCCATCAACACAAATCAATATTATTATTTACATATTTGCGATGAATAGAATCAGTATTATCACGTGTAGGGGTGACTTCTAAGACGGGTTTTCTATTGGATGATTACATTTATTGTACCTTTTACATTCACAACTCGGGACTACATGGAATACCGCGCTTTCGCTGGTTTACACACTTTACAGTTCACCGTTGCACACGCACTAGGATTCTCAGTCTTCACTGGTCGTATCCTGGCAACGGATTTATCACAGTCTCACTGTCACTTCAAATTACACATGAAATCTTCTTGTCACCGTCTAATTCATTTCTTACCCTTATTCTGCAGCTTCCAATTCCGAAGACTCAAATCAATTCAATCCCTCTGTCCCCTAATTCATATCCCGGTTGGTTGGTTTCCCGAAACTCAACTATTCACATTCGACTACTGTTCTGTAGTCTTCTATATTGCCGAACAATTCTTATGTCTACTTCGCACGGACCACGCAGAAAATACAGCCTGTGTTGTTGACGAGGCTTGATTACAACGCCGTTGCCTAGCAATATACCTCCTATTGTCGAGCGCGTTGGCTCGCGAGAAAATGTGTTTACCAAGTCATTGCCTAATAATGGGTATACATGTCACAATATTTTAATGATTGCAAGCATCAAGGCTAGTATTAAATAAGACAGCAAGAACAAATTTAGATTTTAAATACAACAATAATAATAACGGTAATCTATATAAATAATAATAGCAATTCCTTCAAAATGATTTCATGTGTTTATACACGCCTACTTAATATATTTCTTGTGTTCCACTGCATGTAATTTAGATTTTCGACGGATTTAAGGGAGTTTTTACATGGAAGTAAAGTCTATTGGAAGTTGCGTGCTGCGCGCTCATGAATCTGGAGCAAAGCGAGTCTCCGCCACATGCTGTTCCGACGCGCTGGGAACAATCTCATTTTCATTTCTTATTATTTTCCTTGCTTAGGCGGGTCTTTGTTCCCAAGTCTGCCAACTCACTGCTGGCCCGCGATATGTAT